CGGCCGATTGATCGACAGGCGCTGCGCGCCCAAAATCCCCTGGATGCGGGGGAGTTCTGGCACACACTCGCTGCGCAACAGACGGTATTTTACAGGCTGAAGACAGGTAAGCGGGCAAAACTCGAGTGAAAACGGTGAGCGCATATACTCAGTGGCTTGGTCGGGCGAATGGTCGCCATGAAGGACGGCTGGAGCTGGGGTCGGCGTGTCGGGATGTCGGGTGGGTGGACGATGTTCGTGCAAGCCAGATGTGCTACGAGCGCTTCGTGGGAAGTCGGTGGGGCGGGCGATGCGACGTCGATGCTCGCCATGAAGGACAGCTGCGATCCGCGAGAGAGAATCGATATACGATAAGCTTTGCGCGAGGCGCAAGCAGGCGAGGCAGCGGGGAGCGGAGAGGCGCTTCATGTGTGCGGCCGCGTCGTTCTGGGCCCCGTACAACACAGCTATCTGATATCCGTCGGCTTTTCTGTTTGCCATAAAATCTCGGGCGAACTAGTCTCTTCTCTTCTCCCAGTCTTGCTCTGATATCGCGTGTCCTGTTAGTCCAATATTGGTCGTTGGTTGTCATCGAAGCATTTCTCGTCCGTTTTTTTTGTTTGATTTTATATACCTCGATCTCATTCGATCTTTCTCAATGATCATGACGCTAAGTATTACCATGCTTGCTTGTGTACTGTGAACGTCGGAATGATATCATTCTTTGACTCAAAAAGTCTGTGCTTACAATGTGGGCGGTTGCAGACTGAGACAGTGTAACCATACCAAGTCACGGTGTCGATAGCGGTGGATACGAAGCAAGTTACTGGAACCGTTGTGGCTGACATTGCTCGGCACCCTTCCGGATCCGGCAACTAATGCCATGCATCCCGCCATCAGCCTCAATCTCCGAGTCTAAGTATCATCTTGCATGAAAAATTTATCAATGTGGGAGTCCTGGCACCAACGGGAAACAAAATCAGTACACATCTGCTAGTGCGCGTAATCTACAGGATGGTGCGTGCAATCATGTTTTGTTGTTTCGGCCAATGCCGACATCGAGCGCCACTTCCATTTCAATGGAAGACGGGACATTACTGTATCGGAGGCCTCAAATCCGTTCGGAGGCTCTTCCATCGGCTCAGCCATTCAGCTCTCAGAACTTCATTAAAGTACCTCAACCAACCGCCATTTCCAGACATATGTTTAAGCGTACCAAATCCCAAGAGTTGCCTTACAAAGGCGGCATTTTCATTTTGCTCCGTAAGCCAGTCAAATTCTTGGCGCTATACTGACTAAGGTTACCGTCGACGTTCAACCCGCACAACTTAGATCGAGACACGTTGAAAATCTGAAAATCTGCGAAGGATTGCTCAGCTGAGCGTCGCTAGCGAATTAGTAAGTCATTGGGGAGATGTTGCAATATTGCGAGACTTCGGTCTGCGACCAGTATAAAAAGGACGAGGTGAAGAAGGTATGGTATCATTCAGCCTCCCTCCAACAGTTTCCCTACTACGTTTCGGGTAATATGGCTCACAACAACTTCGTCATTAACACTCCAGCGCCCAATGTTTCGTTCTTCACTCCTGCTCAAGAGATCCCCGCGGGTACGGCAATCGACCCCCAACCAAGCGGAAAGCCCATACCAACACTGTTTCAGCCGCTGAAAATTCGCGGCGTAGAATTCCAGAATCGTATATTTGTGAGTTCGAGTATGGTGCTGAGTGGCTAGATGCAGTCCGTGACTGAATGTTGTCCGTTCCTTCTCAGTTGGCTCCCCTTTGCCAATACTCTGCGGATGACGGTAAACCCACGTCGTGGCATCTTGCTCATTGTAAGCTGAACACTCTTCTTGGACCGCTAGCGTTATCCTGATTTTCAAATGAAGTGGGTGGGATTTTCAAACGCGGCCCCGGCTTGTCCTTCGTGGAGGCGACCGCCGTCCTATCAGAGGGCCGTATCACGCCGCAGGATGCCGGCATTTGGTCAGACGACCACATAGAACCATGGAAGCACATCGTCGACTTTGCGCACTCTCAAAACCAGAAAATCGGCATTCAACTCGCCCATGCGGGACGCAAGGCATCTACTGTCGCTCCATGGCTGAACAGAGGTCTAGCTGCATCAGAAATTGATGGCGGTTGGCCTGATAACGTCTTTGGACCGAGTGCTATTCAGTACAATGAAGGATTCCCTCATCCACAGGAGCTGACAAAGGCCGGTATCAAGGGCGTTGTTCGCGCATTCGTGGACGCTGCGAGAAGATCGCTCAAAGCGGGTTTCGACGTGATCGAAGTCCATGCTGCACATGGATTCCTCTTGAACGAATTTTTGACACCTATTTCAAACACGCGCACGGATGAATATGGTGGTAGCTTCGAGAACCGGATACGACTGCTGATCGAAGTCGTGGATGCTGTGAGAGCAGTCATTCCTGCCACGATGCCTCTTTTTGTTCGGTGTGTGGAATTCCGTAGCTCGGATGCAAATGATACTCAAACTTGCGCGAATGTAGCGTGTCCGCCACAGATTACCTCGACGAGGTATTCCCGAACGAAGCGTGGCGCCTTGAAGACACCGTCCGACTAGCAGCAATTCTTGCCGAACACGGTGTCGATCTTATCGACGTATCCAGCGGCGGTGTTCATCCTGCACAGAAATTGAAGTCAGCGCCATTTGCGACACAGGTCCCGCTCTCCAGAGCGATCCGAGCTGCGAACGGAGAAAAGATTCTCGTTGGTGCCGTTGGGGGTATCACGACTGGCCAGTACGCACAAGAGATCCTCGACGAGGTATGAGTTTCATTTCTGGAAGACTGAGTGACCGTCGCTTATCAATTTTATACAGGGCTCTGCAGACGTGATCTTTGTTGGGCGACAGTTCCAAAAGGATCCTTCAGCTGTCTGGACTTTTGCTCGAGACCTCGGAGTCTCAGTCACCGTAGCACATCAGATTGAGTGGGTGTTTGCTGGCAGGGGCAGTGGCGGGAAGCGCACGGGCGTATAGGCATCTCATTCTATCGCCTTCTTGATTCGCTAGATCTATACAGTGCACGTCATAATAGTGTTGCTGATAAAGTAGAATAACTTATGACCCAATTACATTTAGACAACACATTATGTGATGAAGCGCAAGACGGCACGATTGAAAGTCCGAGTTTCGGACAACTCTCAGGCTCTTCGTGTAGCTGGTACGATGAAGCGCTGAAGCGTAGCCTATAGCGGCCACTTGTATCATCCTTTGGCATGTAGGCCTCTGGCATTGTCGGAATACGTTCTATTAACCTCGTTCTCTTTTTCATATTTTGGATCAACACATTGCGTCCATTAGTGTGCTATATCCGTCGCGGCGCGATGGGATATACGATGCGCACCTACGACAACGACCTCGAAGGAACACATCATTCAGACTCGACACACGAAGCATCGAGCTGGCAATCGCGTCCCCATGGACGAGCAATGGACGTGTTTTCGTCGGGTTTATAACGGTAGCTATGTTGACTAACCTATTGCTCCGCTCTTAGTAGGCGTTTTCTGAAAGTCAGTTGAAAAATTGAACGTGCACCGCAGTCCACGTCTATTCCCGCTGGACTGAGTAATAAAAGCCGATTGACCTTTGCTAATCCCCATCTGCTTGGCCTGTAAGCACCTGGAGCTCGTCCCCAGTCATGACCACATCGTCCCAACTACGCAGTACCAAACGGGGAGGCACAAACTCAACATACCTACCTACCCCCCTACCCCCATTCGTCCTGTCCTCATTGGAACGAACTCGAGTCCTCCGAGCTCAGCATGCCCATCCGTTCGCCCAATCCGCCTTGACAATGCCATGACAAGTCTCGTCTCGCCCGGTTATGTACGTTGGCGGACAGCGAGCATATCAATCCCAACGCCGCATCTCTGCGACTATGAGCTCTAGACTGAGCCAAAGCCATCCAAGCAGTTGATGCCGGCCGAGGCACAACTCTGTGTGCTTGCCTTTCGCACACGGTGGTAAGACTGGACGAGTGAGTTAGGCGCACAATGTACTCCCAGGCGAGATGTGCCAACCAGAGCGAGCCTTCGCAGAGGGTGGCCGCGCCGCCCGCTGCGCTCTGGATTCGGGTCACCGCGCCTGCTTGACTGCTTGGCGTGCTAACACGTTCGCTTGCTTGCTCGTTCCGTTCTCACTGCCATCCTGCAGTGCCTCTCTGCTTACGCCTATCTTCCCATACCACCACAGGCCTGTCTCTGATTTATGGAATAATTCCTCAGGCGTTGAATAGAGCCGTAGGCATGGCATAGCATAATTCGAATCTGCGACGATCACAGTGCGCGAAAAGGCTGGACTCGTCTCTCCGAGGTTTCATCTCCCAGCTTC